AAAGATCACTTAGTTGTCGTTTCACTGGTAGTTTTCCTAGAAGAGCCAGGGGAGGGAGCAACAGGCAGAAGTTAGGGACAGTAGCCATCCAGAAATGATCACTGCAGATTTTGTCAGGTCCGAGACACGTCTAACCATTCCTCCATCATATCTGCTACAGGGACGCAGCCCACCTCCTCTTCAGAGGGAGAAGAGAATGATGGGCAAGGGGGCTGCTGGAAAAGACAGACACAAAACTCGGCAATGAAGTCACCAACACTGACTGGCAAGTTTCATTCAGAAACAGAAAAGTAGAGTTTTTAGGTGAGTGGTGAGAGGGAGTTGTGAGTGTCTGGATGAATTTTGACAGTATGTACAGAGCATACAAGAAGGTGGCTGGTGTCTGGGGCGGGTACAATATAAGAGTCAGTAGAAAACCCGTGACACCAAACTTAGGAAAAACACATTCTTTTATCACAGAACACGTTGCACATTTCTTAGTATTGATCAGTTAGATGAGTTATATTTCTATATCCATGCATATGCAGGTTTGTGTGTGTGTGTGTGTGTTCATGTGGGTGTGGGTGCACGTGTGCCCATGCATATGGAGATCAGAGGACAACCTTAATTTCGTTTCTCAGGAGCCTTACACCTTTTGTTTGAGAGTCTCACTGGCCTGGGGCTTCATCCAGTAGGCTAGACTAGCTGGCCACTGAGCTTTCAGGGATCTGCCTGTCACTGCCTTCCATCTCGCCACCACTGGAATTACAAGCATGCCCCACTGTGCCTGGCTTTGTATGTGGGTCCTGGGGATCCCAACTCAGGTCCTCACACTTGAGAGGCAAGCTCTTTACCAATAAATCCATCTTTCAGCTCTGCATTTTTTTAATTAAAAAAAATGATTTTAAATGTTTTTTTATCCGGTGTGGTTGCTTACAAGCGCACACTTCTAGGCCCAGAATGCCCTTGGGAATGACGGAGTCAGCACAGTGAAGAGTATTCACAGTCTTCCTGCAATCTGCTCTCCACTGAATGCTAGTGGCAGGGTGAAGGAAAGACTTGATTAAATACCTTCTAGTGCTTCCATCTAACGCCTGGTACACAGATGGGTAGGGCTACAACCAGTGGTGAACCATATCACCTGTTCTATTTATATTTCCTTGTTCTCAAGTTTGTGAAGCTTGGCATCAAAAAGGAACACATAAGAAATAGCTTATGAAGCCAAGGAGGCTCTAGGGTTTATCTGTGTAGCACTGGTGAAGCAATGTCAGATACTCAAAGCTGCCAAGGCACCGAATCTTTTTCCTCCAACAGTCACTTCCAGCTACGCTGGTACTGCTGAATCCCAAGCTCCCTTTCCACCTGGACCATCTGTCATCACTCTTTAGGCCTTAGTGGTCACCTTGTCTAGTCACCTCCACATCCCCAAGTCTGGGTGAAATTGGCTGTGCTATGCTCTTCAGGCTACTTCTTGCTTAAGCACAGGTCTCTGCCAAGAACACAGACTCCATGAGGGAAGTGCCATACACTCTATCCCTAGTTCTATGGTCTATCCACCTCAGTCACCTTACCATTGGATTAAGAATAAAGGATATGACTTGTAAGATCCCTCAAATATTTTAGAAGAGAAGAGGGTCAAGTAGAAAATCCACTGGGAACTGGTCAGGCAAGTGTCTTTGGAAGAATGAGGCAGAGCTCTGTGCCAGCTGTGGGTGTGACCTTGAGACCCTCCCTCCAGAGAGAAGCTGAGGTGAGGAGGCTACCCCTTCCAGATCCACCTGCTGTTCACACTGAGCTACTCCTGCTTGGATGCTCCAGCCAAGGACAACACACAGAAGGGAATCACACTAGACTCTAGCTGCCCTATGCAGGGACCCCTGCAAGGGCTCTTTGGGCTCTGGAGATCTTTGAGTCCCAGCTATGACTTTCTCAGAGCTGCCCCGCAACTCTGAACTTCCCTCTTTCCTTGTGTTGGATCTGTTTAAGGTCTGAACCTTCTCCCTCAACAACTGCAGCTCTCACTCACCCTTTTGTTTCCAGGCCATCCCTCGCTGCCAGAAATTTCTCTTTTACCTAAAACTCATTCTTGGCATCTAACTCATGGAGGACCCCAACAACTAACTGCCAAGTACCATGGACTGCAATGATTAAAATTCACTGGCTTCTCAGCTGAAGGAGCATACAAGATTCTTCCTACCAACAACCAGTTAATGAAAAATTAACATTCGAAGATATTTGAAGCCCTGACTCCAGGAGTTGACGAAGTAAAAGCCACTTCAGAAATCCATATTGGTTCTGTGTCACTCCACACATCTCTATCATCATTCCCAAGCCAGAGAAGCTTCGAAGGGCATGATTTCCTATGTTCCCTCAAATGAACGGATCACACAAATCCCCCACGGGGCCTTCAAGGAAAGCTCTTTAACTCTTCAAGATGTCCATTCCCTCTATGCCCTCCTCACTCCTTTCTGTTCACATGTAGAGCTAAGCATGAGTGATCTTTAGCTCCCCCTCTCCCCTTTGTTTTAGGTTTCCACATTTTCACTTATATGCGTGTGTACTTTACCTGACTTGGTCATCTGTCTAATGTTTGTTGATCAGCTACTATTTTCCAGGGTGGTGTGCCACCTTTCTGTCTTCGTGAGGTTCATGCTTGGGAAGGTAATGCATGAGTAGAGTAACAACAGCAAAAAGATGGTCTATATATGTTAAAGTACTGAACAAAGAAGCCCAGAGATGCAGGAGTGGATAGGGAAGAGTAATTTGACAGGGTAATTGAAAAAGAATTTTATATAGAGGCAAGATCTGAACTGAGAATTGCATGCAAGGGGGAAGTGTGCAGACAGAGGAAACAGCAAAGGATGGGCAGGAACCTTCCAGGCAGGAAGCTTCCAGGCAGACTGCAGGAAGAGGAAGACAGTCCCTCCCTTCCTTCCTCTTCCCATGGGAGCCGGTTCAGGGCTGTGTCCATTGATGATCAGTGTCAGGCATACCAACTCACTGTTGCTGAAGAAATAAGTGAACTTCTTTTGCAGGTAATTATTGTTTGTAGGTCTTTTCTGACTTTCCTGTCAGAGAGCAGGGTAGGAACCACACCCCAGGCATCACTAGAGTCCTCCCTGAGACAGGTAGAATATTCCCTCGTGAAGCATCAGCATCCCTCTCTAAACTCTAAACGCTGCATCGCTCATCCCCAAGGAGATGGCATTAGGTGGAGTCTTTGGAAGGCAATTAGGTCACATGGGAAGAATCTGCACAAATGAGATTAGTGACCATGGGGGTCTGGGGTACAGCACAAGAGTAGAGTGCTTGCCTAGCATGTGTAAGGCTCTGAGTTCAATTCCCAGTACCATCAAAAAATGAGAGCAAGAGAAAGAGAGAGAGAATGAGAGAGAAAATGAGGGAGAAAGAAAAAGAGAGAGAACCCTTACTGATATCTAAACTCAGAATAAGGTAACAGAAGCTTCCTACAGTGAAAAGCTCTGTTGGATGTCTTCAGTCATCATACTTGTCCATTTTCTCTGTGTGTGTGTGTGTATGTATGCATGTATGCAATATACTTGTGTGTGTGTGTGTGTGTGTGTGTGTGTGTGCGCATGTGGAGGTCACAGATCAGCATTGGGTGTTTTCCTTATTCATAATCTACCTTAAAGATTTTTTTGATTGATTGATGTTTATTTTATGTGTATGAGTGTTCTGACTGCATGTATGTAAGTGTACCATGCAGTGCCTGCAGAGGCCAGAAGAGGGTGTCAGATCCCCTGGAACTGGAATTAGAGACGGCTGTTAGCCACCTGTGGGTGTTGGGACCAAACCTGGGTCCTCTGCAAGAGCAGCCAGGGCTCTTAACCACCGAGCCATCTCTCCAGCCCCATATACTTTGGTTTGTGGGCAGGGCCTCTCACTGAACCTTGAGCTTACATTCAGATAGCCTGGCTGGCCAATGAGCTGCACAGAATCTCCTGTTTCTGCCTTCTCAACACTCAGATTGCAGCCTGGCTTTTATGTGGGTGCTGGGGATTCAAACTCAGGTCCTCCTGCCTATCCATCAGGCACTATTTCCCTACTTTGACATGGTTGAGTCTTCTTACCTGCTTTATGATTGAACAGTTTCAAGAATAGAACAATCAATCCTCAATTCTACTTAATCCAACCTGATAACAAGGTTGGATTCCCTAGAAGTATTTGTTTAGCTCTGCCAAGTGGGTTCAAGTCTAAAGACATCTCCAAAGGTGTGAAGACATTTTATCATGGCCGTGGGAATGGATAGAGATTTATTACAGTTATCAATGCTATTTTTGTCAATGTCTTTGGAATTCTAATTAGATTATTAAAACTTTGCAAATCATTACATGAAATTGAGACTCGACACCTCCCCGTGACAAGGGTACTTTAGAAATGAGAGGATCCTGGTGCTGCAGGTAATGATGCATTGCTGATGATAAAGTTGCAGGGAAATTCCTCCAATAAAACCAGTTGGAAAAGACAGGACCTATTCATCTTATTCTCTCTCCCAGCTTTATGCCCGAGGATACGTCCTCTGCTGCAGAAAACACCACGCAGGCCTTTCCATTTTACCAGCTGCATGGTGCTGGCTTACAGACCTCGAAGTTTAATGGCTTGTCCTGGCTACTTATGTTTTTCCCTTAAATCTGAGAGGCAAATCAAAAATATTTACAAGTGACAAGACATTAGAAAGAAGAATATTTTCAGGAAAGAAATGAGACAAATGCAGACTCGACACCTAAGAATAGTATATCTTAGGGTGTTTTGACTTATAACAGATGCATTCAAAGTAGTACCTGAAGAGAAATGAATAGCTTCTGGTTAATCCAGGCCCATTTGCAGGTTAACAAATGGGGGCACTCTGCACCTATCAAATAATGACTCTAATGTCCTTCAACATCAGTGGGTGAGGAATGGTGTCAACCCTCTGTCCTCTACAAGATAACCTGATTCCTTTGGGTGGAGGTCTGAGCCCTTCACTTTCCAGCAAGAAAAAGAGGAAGGGGCTTACTTACCATGATGGACGACACCCTTCAACCCGTGGATAATAGGATCCAGTGCAGAATTGTCCCTCGGACTGACCTACATGTAAAGGAAACATGATTGGTTAAATCTATTCTGGCATCAGATGCAACAGCCTCGGTTTAATCTTCTAAAGAGATGGGGAAAAAAGAGATGTTATCCAGCAAGCTGCTTAGGTCTCACATATACCATGGCACTCACCAAATGCCAGAGATTTATGACATAATAAAATCAAGTGAGGAAGTCTAAATCAAAAGAAAGAAACTTCTCAGAATACATTATAACAGGAGAGAAATACCACCGCCTTAGCAAAAATCTTAAAAAGCAACCGAAAGAATTTCCTCCCGCTTTGTTTTACTAAAAGTGGGTCCTGATCGGCTAAAAAGTCATTGAAAGTCATCAGAGAACAATCCATCATTGACTAAGTATTTCAGCTCCTTCTGGTGATTGTGTTTTTCCTTTCTTCTTAGAAAATGCACCAGTTCCCTGGCAACCTATTCTCCTCTATAAAGACCCCAGTTTCCTGTGAAAAATCACACACTCTATGGGTATTTATAAGAGCCACTCAAAGCAAGACAGCAGGGAAGAGCTGCTTGAGGAGAGAAAGTCCCCACCTTCATCTTGGAGTTTTTAAGTCCCCCCAAACCAAGCCTCATTAACTTTTTCATTCCCTTAACTTTTGGATACTAGCATAAGTCCTTATTATTATCTTTCCTAGATTAATTTCCCCAACACGATATAGCTATAATTGAAGGTAATTTCATACACACACACACACACACACACACACACACACACACGAAACATAATGATGTCTGGTGTTTGCTTCAAACCATCTAGGAGTAGGCAGCAAGGGGAGGGAGTGTGGGGGAGTGGGGACAGGTACAGGACTGACCTTCACTCAATCAGTTATGACCTTGAGTGATGGATGGGTCATATTACATTCTTTCTACTTCTGTGTACGCTCTTTTTTCCTTAAAAATAAAGAGCTTTTCAAGATACATTATCTGTGGTCAGCACAGTTTCTGCATTTTTCCCCTTCAAGGATAGCATTTCCTATTAATCCACTTCCAGCACAATGAAGCTGAGATATTGATGAACCTTTCAGTGTGTGTCAAGACCAAATTTGCTGTTTCAAGTTAATTCTGAGGAACCTAAAACTGGCCCTATGCTGAATTTCCAGGGGCTACAAATGCTGCACACAGCTTCCTGCTTGACAGACAACACCCCATCCCCATCCCCACCCACCACTGGATTGCTACTCCTGGCTTGCTCTCTCTGAAAATAACCCACACTTCACATATTTCCTTCCTTTCTCTGCTTCAGCATCTCTAGGACAGAGCAATGGCTCTCAACTGGGATAACTCTGCCCTCCCGAGGGGACATGTCCTCATGTCCCAAGAGATTTTTAGTAGTCACAACAACAGTAGGTGGAGGGGGAAAGGGATTAGGTGGAGCCCCTGACATTCAATGGAAAGAGACTAGGTTAAACAGCCCATAGTGTTCATAACTGTAGCCCCCAACAAAGATTCACCTGCACCTCAACAGTGCAGAGGGTGGAGCTGAGAAAGCCCTGTTAGAAGCCCCCTGGGAATAGTGGTTCTAGGTCAATGTCTGTAGCCCTTAATTATGTCTACCTTCAGAACACAGAGACCATTATGCAGCATTTTGTTTATGGACTAATAATGTGGAACGCGCTACTGCATTACAAACACTACAGATATGAGAAGGAGAAATAAAAGGATCAGTGAATAGGGACTTGGTGTATTAGATCACAAATGTAAAAGTCCTGGGAGTTAGCATAAGTGTATATCCAAATTGCCGGACAGGAAGTTCAAGCCAGGACTGAGGTAATGAAAGGAAATGTCCACAGAACATACCAAATCAAAACTACATTTGAGGAATTCATATTTCCACCATATCAAGTAATTGATCAAAAATTTAAAACCCGGCCAAAAACAGAATCACAATTCAAGAATGCAAGATAAAAGGCTCTAATCAGTAAACATGGCCTCATTTCAACAACTCAGAGTAGTACAAGGGCCTAGAGAAAGAGCCCACGTTGAATGAAGCAGCAGGTAAAATGATGGCTTGGATGACTGTCCCCCACCCTTGTGTTTAAGGTTTGGTCCTCAAGGTGTTACAACTGGGAAGTGGTGGAACTAAGTTAGGACTCAGTTGGAAGTTCTCAGTCACTGCGGATATGCTCTGGGGGGTCGGGGGGGGGAATCCCAGGCCCCTCCTCTTTCTCTTTGGCTTTCTAGGTGATGAGGTTGGAGCACACTCTACCAGGTGCTGCCCCACCCCAGGTCCAAAGCAATGGGGTCCATCAATCAAGAACCAGAACCCACCAAACTGAGTCAAAATAAGCCTTTGCTAAGTTACTTATCACAGACATTTTGTTACAGGGAGGAGGCTGACACAGGTGGTCTCAGGTTCAGAGGCTCGGAAAAGTTCATGTGAATCTAATGACCAAATCCCCTCCGAGCTGGGAGAGATGGCAAAGTGGCCACAAGTTGCTCCTATCTTTGCCACATGCAGCTTTTCAGACTGACTTTGCTACACCTCCATCAAGAGTGTTTACCAGTGCTGGGTGTGGTGGGGCACACCCTTAGTCCCAAGCACTTGGAAGGCACATGGATCTCTGTGAATTTGAGGACAGCCTAGTCTGCACAGCAAGTTCCAGGCTAGCTAGGAACAGTAGTAAGACCTTGCCTCAAAATAACAAAAAGAGTGTGTATATTTTTCTCCTTATTTGAAATTTAACTTGTGAATGTGATACAGACAGAGGCTTATAAAGTGTTAGAACCCTAAGGCCACATGTGGAGAGCCCCAAACTAGCCTATTAGAGGATCAAAGGGCAAAAGGAGCTGACACAGGTGGTCCCAGATGAGGGCCCTCTTCCAGTCTGCCATCTACCCAAAGGTGAACAAGTCCATTTAAAGCCAGCCAGTCTCAGCTGAACCACTTGCAGTCTGCAGAGAACAGCTGAGCTTGTTGCAACCAGAACCACCCAGCCCATTTACAGAATCTGGAAATAATAATACGACTGCTGTTTCAACCAATCAGGATCATTTTCCTTCACAGAGCCAGTCATAGCTGTTGGAGCGTCTACGAGTGTGAATAATTTTCTTCATCAATACACTTTGCTTATGGTGTATCCTAAAGGTTTCTGAATGTGACTTCTTATCAGTCCTACTTGGCTGATGTGTTCCTCCAAAACTGTTACCCCCCCTGCTACCACAGCAACATTTCTAGAAACAGTAGCACACTACCCTTTATCTAAGGTTTTACCGCCTGCAGTTTCACTTACCTATGGTCAACTGTGGTCTGAACATATTAAATGGAAAAGCCTTAGCCAAATATAGAAGTGGTATAAGCCTCGGATAGTGAGTAACCCAGCACTCAGGAGGTGAAGGCAGGAGGATTAGGAGTTCAAGGTCATCCTCAGCTATACAGGGAGTTTGACATGAGCCTGGGCTACAGGACACCGTGTCTCAAAAAGGAAAGGAGGGAGGAAGGGAGAGAGGGAGGGAGGGAGGGAGGGAGAGAGAGAGAGAGAGAGCAGAAAACCTGAGTTCAGATTCTGTTCGAAAAACGAAAATGTTTTCTTGCACCTAACGTGCATATTTCAAAGATATTCTTCCAATAATTCTAATCTTATTTTATCAAATCTGTCATTTTAAAAATTGGAATTCTTAAGGGCTACCTCTTCAGATGCGGGGGAATGTTAGAGTAGCAAAAAGCCCTATGAGAGAAAGTGGGAGGGAGAGAGGGAGGGAGGGGAGAGAGAGGGAGGGAGGGAGGGAGAGAGGGAGGGAGGGAAATCCCTGAAAGAGAAAGTTGAAACTGAACTGAGTCAGGTGAAGAAATCTTATGCTGTCTGTCACATAAATCGTCCCACTGTGCACATTGTGCCAGTCACTTTCTTGTTAGTGTCTTAGTCCTACTATCTTCCTTTTCAGCTTAGATGTCTCAGTACTGCAGTGTTTGTGTTCCGATAACCCGTTTTACTTACTAATGACCCCAAACAGCAGCAGTACATTGTTAAAATTATATTTTATTATCAGCTTTTGGTTTGCTTTCAGATATGGTCTCGTGTAGCCCAGGTACCCTGGAACTTGCTATGTAACTGAGGATGACCCTGAATTCCTGGTCCTCTTGCCTCTGCTTCCCGAGTGCTGAGATTTCAGGGGTTAACCTCCACTCCAGCTTCCTAGCTAGCTATTATTATTAATTTATCATTGTGTATACCAGTTAATCTAACAATTAAACATTGCCATAGGTACGCATGCATAGGAAGAAATATTAAGTTCTGTGGCATCCGGTGTCACCTGCAGGTTTTGGCATATGCTAGCGGTCTCGAGATGCATCCCTGGCAGATAAAAGGGATTATAGTCCAGTATTCTGATGCTCTATCCAAGATGAGAAGGGATGTTTCACAGCTAGGGGGACCCTGAAATGCATTTCGTCTTGTCTGATGGCATGGAAGCTCAAAGGAGGTGTTCTTAATCCCCCATGACTGACACCCACTGATAACACACAAGTGGAAAATAACCAGGCAACCTAATCCAAGATCCATTTCTGTCTGCTTGTGATTATAGCATCTCTGGGTTCAACACTTAGACCTGCCCGGCCTCATTTGAGCTCAAAGGTCTGACCCCAGATTCAAAGCAACTCCACATATTGAAAGTCTCTACATGGTCTATTCAGCTGCCAGTGAGAAGACAGACAGGAGAAAGTGAAGAAAACAGCTTGTTGTCTGGTCAAAGAAACTTCCCAATAATATTGAGCGCATTCTCCAGTCTTTGAGTGGGGAATCCAAGCTGCATGTTAATAAGTAGATTTGTTCCAGGAAGCCAAAGCTCTCACCGAAATAATCCCATCTACCGACTGTTTCAATCAATTTGCAACTTAAGCAATGTGGGCAACTTTCAATGTGAAGGCTACGAAGAAGGCAAGGCAGTTTAGCAACCTGTGTTTACATTTGGTTCTCTGTCTTATCTGGAAAAGGCCAAGAGAGGCCAAGAAAATTGAATTCTGAATCAGACAGCCCCACA